ACACATGGTGCAGCAGGTCCTTCAGCGCTTCGGCTTCCAGTTCTCCTCACCACAGGCCACACCTCTGGCTACCAGTCACTCGCTCTCAGCTCCACCTCCGGACGAGTCCGTAGAGCCGAGTGGCCCGTACCCAGAGCTTGTGGGCTGCCTCATGTACCTGATGACTTGCACGCGACCTGACCTCGCGTACCCTCTTAGCATCCTTGCTCGTTACGTTGCACCTGGGAGACACAGGCGAGAGCACTGGGAGGCTGCTAAGAGGGTGCTGCGCTACTTGTGCAGTACATCAGGCATGGGGCTGGTGCTTGGAGGACACGACAGAGTTGTCCTCACTGGCCACTCGGACGCTTCTTGGGTGGACGACCTGGCTACGCAGCGGTCGTCACAGGGTTACACCTTCAGCCTTGGCTCTGGTTCTGTCTCGTGGCGGTCCACCCGTTCTTCTTCTGTTCTCAGCTCTAGTTGTGAGGCTGAGATCTACGCCACGGCCATGGCTGCACAGGAGTTACGCTGGCTCACCTACCTGCTGACTGACTTGGGAGAGCGGCCTAGTTCTCCTCCAGTTCTGTACGGCGACAACAAGGCGGCCCTTGCCTTGTGTCAGGAGCACAGACTGGAGCACAGGACGAAGCACATTGCTCTTCGCTACTTTCTTGCTCGAGAGCTTCAGCAGCGCGGTCAGCTTCGGCTTGTGTACGTGGACTCGAAGGCCAACACTGCTGATATCTTCACCAAGGCGCTCCCGCCTAGTGATCATCAGCGGCACTGTACTTCTTTAGGCCTTGTGTCCACGTTTCCTCACTTGCTCACTGCTTGACATTCTTTGTACTGTACTTTATATATATCTTGTTGCTTGCTTGCTAGGTTTTGATCACTGTGTTGCTTGTCTTGTACTATATCTAGCACTGCATGTGAACTGGCCTTGTGGCCTTTGCTTGTGCTCGGAGTGTGGTGACGTTGTGATCCACCCTGGGCTTGTGTTGCTTTGCTGGACTGGTCTTGTGACCTTTTGTTCTCCCCCACTTTGCCTATGGGGGTGTGTTAAATTATAATGGGTTCTATGTTGGTAGGCTGTAGTGGGGTAGCCAATATGGGGTACAACCCCAACTAGGGTTTCATATTTGTACCCAAACTTCTGCTAGTTCATTCATTCTTGCCTAGTGATTCTGACAGTTACGTCCCCTTCGTTGCACGCCAGTCGGGAAGTGGCGGGCAGACCATCCACCACTGTACGAGTCGTTGGATGATCGCGCGCCCACTACACGGGGGTTCCAAGGAACAGAACCTTCACGTCCGCTCCGCCGTAGTCGCCAGCCGCGTGGCGTGCCCGAACATCAACTAATCGCGCCTGCAGGGTATCCTCTACGCCTGCTACGACCTCCTCCTGGTCGACCATGGCGGTCTAGATGGCTACCGGCCTACTACAACTTAGGTAATGCATTAAAAATGTCGGCTACTCTAGAGGTCCTAACGCGGGGCCGTTCCACGCTCATCGCAGCATGCGGAGAGTCACCCTACAATGGGAGTGGACTACGGAGGAGGGCACGGGGTTGTGCGGGTGATCGTAGTGCTCTAGCAGCGTTCTTACTACTTGTTATGTTCACAGAGAAATTTGGCAAGAGTTTCCACTGAGGAAATTTGAAAAAACATTGGAAATTGAGAATTAGAGTACAAGAATGAGCATGCAAAACGATATCTCTGGAATGGCATTGCAATCCCTAGCAAGCATTCTGCAAGGCGAATTGCCAGCACTGCATCAGAGCGATTCGCCAGCGCTGCAACAGGGCGGCCTGCCAGCGCTGCATTTGCAGGTGAATATCTGTGCAGCTGTGCACCTGCCATGTAGGTGCAGGTAGACGGTTGCACCGTCAGAGACTTTCATTGGTCAAAATATCGACGAACCGACAACTCCGCTTAGATTGACGGCCATCGAACCGTTTGCACCTGATTTTTGGCCGGATAAAAACATATTACCCTCTCATATGGCATGCTGTTTAGGGAGCATCAACCCTAAACACCGGGCGGAAGTGTTTAGGGGAGCATCAACCCTAAGCATTGGTTGTAACTGTTTAGGGCTGATTCCTTTTGCGACGGGTTTTATACATTTTTATGGCTGCCATCAAGGGAGCATCAACCCTAAACACCATGCGAATGGGTGTTTAGGATAAATGCACTCTCTTTATGGGCTTCAAAATTGTAAAACACCTGACTGAGTTAAATTATTCTCTCTTACACAGTAGGCTTGTGGTTCTCAAAGATTTAGACCAATTAGCGTCGAACAACGTAGAAATTGCACTAACTCTGCGCTGTAAATGAAAAACGGGTTGTGTCCTTGCCCCAGAAGCGATGGAACTGCGCAGTTAGCGTGCAGTTTCGAAAACCGTGCTTTGTCAACTGAAAACCCAAGGAAGAACGAAAGGGATCGCTTGCTGGGTGGGAGGAAGAAAGGAAGGCAACGGAAGAGAAGCTGAACCGCCGAATGCATGACACAGCAATGGCGGAAGGCGCCATTAGGGCGTGTAACCTTTTTTATTTTTTTGTGATTTTTTCGGACCGTCCGTTTTTTTTAAACGGACGGTCCTAATATCGAGAAACGGACCGTCCGATGTGACGTTTCGGAACCTTGCCACCGTCCGGAGAGAAACATGACGCTTTTTGCCAGTACTCCGACTTCGCGACTGCTGTAGTCTCGCGTAGCTCCCGCGACAGTCGTAACCAAATACACAAGCTGTCGCAAGAGAAATTCGTTTGCCAATCCCTGCGCAGGTTTGCAGAGTGAAATTCGTCCGCCAATCCCTGCGCTCAAATGGCGGACCGTCCGTTTGGGTTTCGGACCGTCCGAATGCACATATCGGACCATTGGAAACGTGAAAAAGTGTCATGACGGTTCGGAATGTTGGCGACGTCGCAAGGAGTTCCACGAACTCACTTTCGAATTGCTGCGACTCTGGTAACTCTTCGCTAATCCGGACGGTCCACATTTCGGACCGTCCGGAACAAAAATAGGCAAAATGGTTACACGCCCTTAGATGCAGGCAGCGTGAGTGAGGAGAAGTGTTTTGTTCGATGCAGGCAAAACAGGTAGTAGTAGGCAGTGTGGAAAAGAAGCAGGTGACGAAGGTCATGGCTACTGTAGCTTGTCACTAGGCTAGAATCGACGGTCTCGATTTCTCCTCAGCCTGAATCCACTTGGAACCCCGATTCTTTGTCGAGTCGGGTTGCCCACCAGCCCAAGCCGAATCGGCTTTTACCTAATGCATGCAGATTTTGCTAGTGCAAGTTTGCAAACACATACAATAGACGGTCCAGGCAAAAATGTCGGCCTGCCGGCAAAACCACGCGGTTACCCATGTTTAGGGTTGAGGCTCCCTCTGTCGCATGCCATCCAGATGGGGTTTATTGTTTTCTGACCGCGAGCAGATAACAGTCCGTCAGTCACTTTCCCCTACAGCCGTCTGTTGTATGCATCTGAATAATTACACTGGTATAAGTTGAATTCCGTTGAAAATGGCCCAAGCCGAATTTCGTGTCGCAACCTTGGGGTGTTGATTCGGCGAATCGGGATTCAGAAACTGGTGGTGCTGGACATTTCCCGCCGAAACCTGGCATTGCCACATAAGCAGACGGGATGAAGGGGTACCGTATCGAGATGCCTTTTAGCAAGACTCGAGAGTCGTGTCGGAGGAAATGATAACCACGCAACTACAAATTACCAAGGATGAATGTAAAACAAAACTCATTCATGGGAATAGTACCTTGCTACTTGTCCCACAAGAATAAATGGTCACTCTTGATTGCATTCCTTAATATTTTCATCCATATGTCAACTACGCAACTCTGGAACTACACACCTACAACTAAATGCGATAGATATGTACAGCAACTCGTTCATGGAAGGGTACCCCATCCTCTTTGCCTTCAAGACCCCCCTTCACAATCACCTCAGCAAATGTCCCTCCCCCGGATCCCTTTGCAAGATGCCCAGGATTAACGCAGACAGGCTGAAACACTGAACCAGTTCCTTTGGCTTCAGCGGCCGTTGCTTGTGTGGGCGTTGAGGCTGCTGCTGCTGCTGTTGCTATTGACGCTGCTTCTGGCTTACTGGCTTGTGCTACAGCATGTGTTGTTGCAGCAGCTGGGAGACCTGAGTCCGCATTACCTGCTGCCAGTGACGGCAAAACAGCAGGTTGCATTGTCACTGGTGTAGGAGTAGCTGTTTCCTCCTGCTGCTTCTGCTGATGTTGGTGTGGTGGTGGTTGCATAGGCAAAACCTGCAGGCAGAACAAACATGGCATGAACGGGGCAAGGTTGGATGGCAGTACGAGGAGGTGGGGGATGAAGAGGAGGTGAGGGGTGAAGAGGAGGTGAGGGGGACGAGGAGGTGAGGGGGACGAGGAGGTGAGGGGTAAAGAGGAGGTGAGGGGTAAAGAGGAGGTGAGGGGTAAAGGGGAGGTCCAGAGCTTGAGGGCAGCATGAGAGATGTGGCCAGGACTGGGGGGGGAGAAGGCTCACCTTTACGAAAGGAACGAGGTCGGAAGGGAGGAAGAGGAGGTGAGGGGCAAACGTGAGGTCCAGGGCTTGGGGGCAGCAGGAGAGATCAAGACAGGTGGCAGGAGGGGGAGGGAAGTCCAAGAGAAAGGAAGTGAAGAGAAGTGGAGAAAAAGAGAGAGGGCAAAGGAGGGCTTACCTTGACAAAGGGAACAAGGTCTGATGGCAGGAAGAGGAGGTCTGATGGCAGGAAGAGGAGGTGAGGAGCGAATGGAAGGTCCAAGGCTTGGGGGCAGCAGGAGAGATCGAGGCAGGTGGCAGGCGGGGGAGGGGTGAAAGAAAAGAAGGGCTCACCTTGACTAAGGGAACGAGATCAGAAGGAAGGAAGAGGAGGTGAGTAGCAAACGGGCCAGGGCTTGAGGGCAGCAGGAGAGATCAAGACAGGTGGCAGGTGGGGAACAGGGGGGTTGTTGACGAGGACGGGATGTGGGTTGTGAAGGGGGGAGGCTCACCTTGACAAAGGGGACGAGGTCGGAAGGGAGGAAGAGGCGGTGAGGAGCGAATGGAAGATCCAGCGCTTGGGGGCAGCAGGAGAGGTCGAGGCAGGTGGCAGGGGGGGGAGGGAAGAGCGGGTAGAAGCTCCTCTGGCCAATCACGTGCGCCGCCAGCCTGGAGATGCGGTCCGACGTGGCGTTGTCTCCTGGCGCCACGCGGGCGATCTCCTCCTTGCTGAGGTGGCGGAGAATGTCGGTGGAGGAGCAGGCAATGCCAATCTGGTGGGGAGGGGACGGGGGAAGGACAGAGGGGGGAAGGGCAGAGGGGGGAAGGAGGTGGGGAAGAGCAGGTGGTGCTCTCCTCCCTGAGGTGGCGGAGAATGTCGGTATAAGAGCAGGCGATGCCAACCTGCCAAATGCGAGGCGGGGGAAGGGTGGGTGGGGGGAAGAACAAGCGGGGACGAGCGGGGGGCCAAGGGCAGGGCGGAAGATTGCAGGCAGAGGGTAAGGGCGATGTCCTCCTTGCATAGGATGTCCTCCTTGCATAGGATGTCCTCCTTGCATAGGATGTCCTCCTTGCATAGGATGTCCTCCTTGCATAGGATGTCCTCCTTGCATAGGATGTCCTCCTTGCATAGGATGTCCTCCTTGCATAGGATGTCCTCCTTGCATAGGATGTCCTCCTTGCATAGGATGTCCTCCTTGCATAGGATGTCCTCCTTGCATAGGATGTCCTCCTTGCATAGGATGTCCTCCTTGCATAGGATGTCCTCCTTGCATAGGATGTCCTCCTTGCATAGGATGTCCTCCTTGCATAGGATGTCCTCCTTGCATAGGATGTCCTCCTTGCATAGGATGTCCTCCTTGCATAGGATGTCCTCCTTGCATAGGATGTCCTCCTTGCATAGGATGTCCTCCTTGCATAGGATGTCCTCCTTGCATAGGATGTCCTCCTTGCATAGGATGTCCTCCTTGCATAGGATGTCCTCCTTGCATAGGATGTCCTCCTTGCATAGGATGTCCTCCTTGCATAGGATGTCCTCCTTGCATAGGATGTCCTCCTTGCATAGGATGTCCTCCTTGCATAGGATGTCCTCCTTGCATAGGATGTCCTCCTTGCATAGGATGTCCTCCTTGCATAGGATGTCCTCCTTGCATAGGATGTCCTCCTTGCATAGGATGTCCTCCTTGCATAGGATGTCCTCCTTGCATAGGATGTCCTCCTTGCATAGGATGTCCTCCTTGCATAGGATGTCCTCCTTGCATAGGATGTCCTCCTTGCATAGGATGTCCTCCTTGCATAGGATGTCCTCCTTGCATAGGATGTCCTCCTTGCATAGGATGTCCTCCTTGCATAGGATGTCCTCCTTGCATAGGATGTCCTCCTTGCATAGGATGTCCTCCTTGCATAGGATGTCCTCCTTGCATAGGATGTCCTCCTTGCATAGGATGTCCTCCTTGCATAGGATGTCCTCCTTGCATAGGATGTCCTCCTTGCATAGGATGTCCTCCTTGCATAGGATGTCCTCCTTGCATAGGATGTCCTCCTTGCATAGGATGTCCTCCTTGCATAGGATGTCCTCCTTGCATAGGATGTCCTCCTTGCATAGGATGTCCTCCTTGCATAGGATGTCCTCCTTGCATAGGATGTCCTCCTTGCATAGGATGTCCTCCTTGCATAGGATGTCCTCCTTGCATAGGATGTCCTCCTTGCATAGGATGTCCTCCTTGCATAGGATGTCCTCCTTGCATAGGATGTCCTCCTTGCATAGGATGTCCTCCTTGCATAGGATGTCCTCCTTGCATAGGATGTCCTCCTTGCATAGGATGTCCTCCTTGCATAGGATGTCCTCCTTGCATAGGATGTCCTCCTTGCATAGGATGTCCTCCTTGCATAGGATGTCCTCCTTGCATAGGATGTCCTCCTTGCATAGGATGTCCTCCTTGCATAGGATGTCCTCCTTGCATAGGATGTCCTCCTTGCATAGGATGTCCTCCTTGCATAGGATGTCCTCCTTGCATAGGATGTCCTCCTTGCATAGGATGTCCTCCTTGCATAGGATGTCCTCCTTGCATAGGATGTCCTCCTTGCATAGGATGTCCTCCTTGCATAGGATGTCCTCCTTGCATAGGATGTCCTCCTTGCATAGGATGTCCTCCTTGCATAGGATGTCCTCCTTGCATAGGATGTCCTCCTTGCATAGGATGTCCTCCTTGCATAGGATGTCCTCCTTGCATAGGTGGCGGAGAATGTCAGTTGACGAGCAGGCAACTCCAACCTGCCGTTGGAGGAAAGGGAGGGAGTAAGGGCAGAGGGTAAGGGCAGAGGGTAAGGGCAGAGGGTAAGGGCAGCATGGGCAGTGCGGGAAAGCAGGTAGCGAAGGGCAGTGCGGCAAGGGCAGGGGAACAAGGGCGGTCTCCTCCTTGCTGAGGTGGCGCAGGATGACTTTTGAGAATTCTCAAAAGTGGCGCAGGATGTGGGTGGACGAGCAGACGATGGCAAGCTCGGAGGGAAGGGACGGGGGGAGGGGGAAGAGCTGAAGTAGAGAGGAGGGTGAGCAGGTGGCCAAGGGAAGGTGGGAATCATCGTCACACTGAGGTGTTGCGGAGGATGTCGGTGGACGAGCAGGTGATGGCAAGCTGAAGTCGAAGTTGAGGGGAGGGAGAAGACAAATGGGCGATCTCCTCCTTGCTGAGGTGGCGCAGGATGTCAGCAGACAAGCAGGCTGTGCCAACCTGGCAGGTGCAAAAGAGAGATATTTTTCAGGATTTTCAGGAGTTTGATCCTTCGGCCGGAAGCAGGCAAAGTGGACAAAGGTAGGCGAATCAACAATTTTAAGTGGAAACTCCGGCTTTTTTACTTTTGAGGCGCCTCGCAACTCCAATAATTGTCTTGATGGAAATGAGTTTTGGTTCACAACAAAGTATTTGTTGTGGGTAGATACATCCACAAAATGACAATGAGACGAGACGACGAGACGAACCTCGTTGCTGTAATGGCGTGGATCGATTAGAGGGATGTGCGACGTAGCAGTTCCTACCTGGTTATCCAGTATAACGGCGGAGGGGTTTCCAAGCATCAGGACTTGCTTGCGGGGGTCTTCAAAGTCAGACGAGTCGAATGGAGGCTGCTCACATGCATGAAAGGAGAAAGAGGAAGAAGTGTTGAGAATGGAGGCATTCAAAGGAATTCAAAGGTTTCGAGAGGAATTCCCAAAAGCATAATGTGCTTTCGCAGGTGTTCAGAGTTAGACGAGGCAAAGGGAGACGTGAAAACAGCTAATAGCCCAGGCCATTTTCTTAGGCACCTCATAAGCCCCATGCATCATGTTTTAGAACGGGGAAATGAAACGTAAGGAGGAGAAGCATGAGGACGCAACAGGCACCTGAAAGGGCACCTGAGAGGGCACCTGAGAGGGCACCCGAAAGGGCTCTGCGAGGGCACCTAGCATGGGTGAGTGGGGTGCACCTGAAGAGGCACTTGAAGAGACACCTGAAGGGGCACTTGAAGAGGCACCTGAGAGGCCACCTGAAGAGGCACCTGAGAGGGCACCTGGGGCACCTGAGACCGTACCTGAGGAAAGACCATGTTGCCATGGGCGTCTCTGAGCGAGAAATTCACCCTGCAAGCACAGCCATCTGAGAATTCACCTGAGGAAAGATCATGGTGTGGTGGGCGTCTCTGAGTGATGGCAGCAACAGCACCTTGCAGCTGCCTCCTGCCCGCTCACAGTAGTCCTCCACCTGAGAGGGAGGAGGAGAGAGAAAGCAGGAGAAAGAAGGGCAGGGGGTTGGGAATGTTATCTTGGAGAAAGGGCATCTTTGCATGGTTTGTGCAGTGAAGGGCATCTTTGCATGGTTTGTGCAGTGAAGGGCATCTTTGCATGGTTTGTGCAGTGAAGGGCATCTTTGCATGGTTTGTGCAGTGAAGGGCATCTTTGCATGGTTTGTGCAGTGAAGGGCATCTTTGCATGGTTTGTGCAGTGAAGGGCATCTTTGCATGGTTTGTGCAGTGAAGGGCATCTTTGCATGGTTTGTGCAGTGAAGGGCATCTTTGCATGGTTTGTGCACTGAAGGGCATCTTTGCATGGTTTGTACAGTGCAGTACAGTGCATCTGCAGCAACAGCGGCACCTTGCGGGTGCTTCCAGCCCACTCACAATAGTCCTCCACCTGAGGGCGGGGGGGGTAGAAGAACCGGGAGCAGAGGGGGAGGAGAGGGGTGATATGATGGGGGAAAAGGGCATCCTTGGAGTTGAAAAGGGCATCCTTGGAGTTGAAAAGGGCATCCTTGGAGTTGAAAAGGGCATCCTTGGAGTTGAAAAGGGCATCCTTGGAGTTGAAAAGGGCATCCTTGGAGTTGAAAAGGGCATCCTTGGAGTTGAAAAGGGCATCCTTGGAGTTGAAAAGGGCATCCTTGGAGTTGAAAAGGGCATCCTTGGAGTTGAAAAGGGCATCCTTGGAGTTGAAAAGGGCATCCTTGGAGTTGAAAAGGGCATCCTTGGAGTTGAAAAGGGCATCCTTGGAGTTGAAAAGGGCATCCTTGGAGTTGAAAAGGGCATCCTTGGAGTTGAAAAGGGCATCCTTGGAGTTGAAAAGGGCATCCTTGGAGTTGAAAAGGGCATCCTTGGAGTTGAAAAGGGCATCCTTGGAGTTGAAAAGGGCATCCTTGGAGTTGAAAAGGGCATCCTTGGAGTTGCTGTTGAAAATTCTTGAAAATCGCTCAGATGGAGAGGAGGGGGCTGATATGATCTTGGAAAGGTCATCTCATCTCAGTCTTTCCCCCCCTCACCTGCGCGTGGACCTGCTGTTGAAAGAGCGCGCATAGGTCTGGCGAACACAATCTCTTGAACAAGCTTCATACGAAGCCCTCAGCAGCAGAAACTCGCACCTCCCCCCGTTCCACACCCCACCCAATCACCTCCCCCCCCCCCCTCCCCCCCCCAAAGTGCTGCTGAAAGAGCATTAAATTTGTCGTCTCGCAATTCCTTAATGGTTCGCACAGCCATCCCGCTTTTCACATGACCTCTCCCCCTTAACCCATCTTTTCCTCCTTCCTCACCTGTGTGCGGATGTGCTGCTGAAAGAGCGCCTCATACGTCTGGTCCACACAGCCGTCCCGCGCATCGGGATGCTCGCGATCGATGAAGGGGCCCATCTGATCGGGGGGAGGGGGGGGAGGGAGAAGTGGGGGGTGTAAATGGGGGCGCCTCGTAGGTGTGGTCCACACAGCCGTGTCGCTCGCACATCAGGATGCTCGCGATGGATGAACAGCCAGAGGCAAGTGACAGTGAGTTAGGGCTTCATACGTCTGGTCCACACACACAGCCGTCTCACTCGCACATCAGGATGCTCGCGATGGATGAACAGCCAGAGGCAAGTGACAGTGAGTTAGGGCTTCATACGTCTGGTCCACACACACAGCCGTCTCACTCGCACATGAGGATGCTCGCGATGGATGAACAGCCAGAGGCAAGTGACAGTGAGTTAGGGCTTCATACGTCTGGTCCACACACACAGCCGTCTCACTCGCACATGAGGATGCTCGCGATGGATGAACAGCCAGAGGCAAGTGACAGTGAGTTAGGGCTTCATACGTCTGGTCCACACACACAGCCGTCTCACTCGCACATCAGGATGCTCGCGATGGATGAACAGCCAGAGGCAAGTGACAGTGAGTTAGGGCTTCATACGTCTGGTCCACACACACAGCCGTCTCACTCGCACATGAGGATGCTCGTGATGGATGAACAGCCAGAGGCAAGTGACAGTGAGTTAGGGCTTCATACGTCTGGTCCACACACACAGCCGTCTCACTCGCACATGAGGATGCTCGCGATGGATGAACAGCCAGAGGCAAGTGACAGTGAGTTAGGGCTTCATACGTCTGGTCCACACACACAGCCGTCTCACTCGCACATCAGGATGCTCGCGATGGATGAACAGCCAGAGGCAAGTGACAGTGAGTTAGGGCTTCATACGTCTGGTCCACACACACAGCCGTCTCACTCGCACATGAGGATGCTCGCGATGGATGAACAGCCAGAGGCAAGTGACAGTGAGTTAGGGCTTCATACGTCTGGTCCACACACACAGCCGTCTCACTCGCACATCAGGATGCTCGCGATGGATGAACAGCCAGAGGCAAGTGACAGTGAGTTAGGGCTTCATACGTCTGGTCCACACACACAGCCGTCTCACTCGCACATCAGGATGCTCGCGATGGATGAACAGCCAGAGGCAAGTGACAGTGAGTTAGGGCTTCATACGTCTGGTCCACACACACAGCCGTCTCACTCGCACATCAGGATGCTCGCGATGGATGAACAGCCAGAGGCAAGTGACAGTGAGTTAGGGCTTCATACGTCTGGTCCACACACACAGCCGTCTCACTCGCACATCAGGATGCCCCCGATTAATAAAGGGGCCCATGATTGATGAGATCTTTCACCAGCTTTGAATGGCCACGAGCCGACATGCCATCATGCCAGCATCCCAGAGGCAAGGCAACGGCGGGCGAAGCGAGGCATCGACATACCAGCAGCAGCGCACCCGGTGGTCACTGCAGTGCGAATCGGATGATGTCTTTGAACGGCTTGAAGGACCACGAGTCAACATATACCAACATGCCAGCATGTTGCCACTACCCGCAAATACAAGCACAGCAGCAACAAGATAGCCAGTAGCAGTTGCATTGAAGCATCGACATACCAGCAGCAGCACATCTGACGGTCGCTGCAGTGCGAATCTGACGAGGACTTTGAACGGGTCGAATGACCATGAGTCAACATACCAACATGCCAGCATGCCAGCACGCCAGTAGCAAGGTAACCGAAGGCAAGGGCAGGTTAACATACCAGCAGCAGCACATCTGGCGGTCGCTGCAGTGCGAATCTAATGAGATCCTTCAGCGGGTCGAATGACCACGAGTCAATCGTGGTGAAGGGGCCTGCTGCCGCGATCTGATCACAGACAAATAGAAGGGAAAATGAGCAGAGAGAGATTGTGCAGGAGGAGAATCAAATGAGGTCTTTGAGAGGCTCAAACAAGCACGAGTCAATTGTGGCGAATGGGCCTGCTGCAGCGATCTGAGGGGTGACAGGGGGAGTGTTGGGCAGAGATCGTACGAGGAAGAAGGAGCGCGTTCATTCAGCTCGGATGCTCTACCTTCTGTAGGAGACTTGCACCAAACTGAGTGCCGCAAGCAAACATGAGCGCCGCAACGGCCCAACTAAATTGAACCTAGTTCATGCGCCCAAGGGGAAAACTAGTGAGTCGAAATGATATTTCCAGAGCAGAGAGATGATTCGGAGAAAGTTCAGGGCAATGGGGAACTTGATAGGTATTCGAGTTGACTCAATGGGGATGTGCGGACAATGGAGAACTTGATAGTGCACATCCCCGAATTTCCTGCACCAGGAAATCGAGTTGACTTGTAAGGTTTGTAAGACTCACAATCCTGATCTCGTCATCCCCTTCCTCGTCCTCCTCCTTGTCTCCCTCGGCTTTCACTCCAGCAGCACCGCTCTCCACCGCCCTGACTTCCTCCGTCTTCATACCCTCAGCTCCTCCAGCTTTATCCCCCTGGCCTTCCACATCCCCCTTCACACTCCCACTCTCCCCAGCTCCTTTCTCCTCTGTCCCTTGCCTTGATTCTCCCTCTCCATCTTTATCAACAGCACCACCACCTTCACCAGCAGCACCAGCAGCATCACCACCATCATCACCAGCACCGCCAGCAGCAGCAGCAGCAGCAGCACCAGCACCACGAGCATCAAGGGAATCAGCCTCAATTTTAACTTCCTGTCTCTTCTCCTCCTCCCTCACACTCCCCTCGCTGTCCTTCTCTCCCTCAACAGTATTCTCTCCTTCATCCTTCTTCCCTCCCTCATCGTCATTGGAATTCTCTCCCACACCACTCTCCTCCCCATCCTTTGTCCTCATCTCCTCAATCTCATCAAGAGCTATCACATCCCCTAACCCAAAAGGAAGCAAATCACCCTTCCCCCGTCCACCCCCCTTCTCCTTCCCCTTCCCTTCCCCTTCCCCCTTTCCTGTTGCGCCTCCCTCTCCCTTCTCCGCCTTCACTCTCGCCCCTCCCTTCTCTCCACACCCTTCCTCTCCCCCTTTCGCTACCCCCTCTCCCCCTCTCCCTTCCGCCTCCCTGCCCCCTTTCCTCCTCCCCGTCCCTTCCGTTTTTGCCCGCTTCGGCCGTCGCCGAGCCTGCGCTTCCGAGCCTGTCAGGCTCGGCACGGGCTGGTACGGCAGGGCAGCAACGATCCGCTTAGCAACGAGGCAGTAGCCGCTGGGGTTGCTGCCTTCAACGGCCAGGATCTGCCCTGGGAAGAGCGAGAAGGACGGCAGATGACGCAAGTCCAGACGTACCCTCACCCCTTGGCAGGGGTCGATGCTGTGAAGGGGAAGGTTGGGGACAGGAAAGAGGAAAGGGGAAGGGGTTGGTGGGGAGAATGGGGAAAGGCAGGATCTGGTGACTTGCTGCATTCAACGGCCAGGATCTGACCTGGGAAGAGCGAGAAGGACGGCAGATGGCGCAAGTCTAGACGTACCCTCACGCCCTGACACGGGTCGATGATGTGATGTGGGGTGGGGTGGGGTGTGGGAGAGCAGGAGTGGGAGTGTGTGAGATGCTGCCTTCAGCGGCCAGGATTTGCCCTGGGAAGAGTGAGAAGGACGGCAGATGGAGGAGATCGAGCCGAACTCTCACACCCTGACACGGGTCGATGCTGGTGGGTGGGGTGGTGGTGGGTGGAGTGGGAGGGTATGGGTTGCTGCCTTCAACGGCTAGGATTGTTTTGGGAAGAGCGAGAAGGACGGCAGATGGCGCAGATCGAGCCTCACTCTCGCACACTGACAAGGGTCAATGCTGGTGTGGGTTGGGATGGTGGGAGCGCAGGAGAGGGAGTGTGTGGGTTGCTGCCTTCATTCAACGGCCAGGCTTTGCCCTGGGAAGAGCGAGAAGGATGGCAGATGGCGCAGATCGAACGGTATCAAGCCGCGCTCACATGCCCCGACAGGGGTGGATGCTGTGGGTGGGGTTGTGGGAGAGCAGGAGGGGGAGCATATGAGTTGCTCCAACAAGGAGCACTGGTTCCCCCTTTCGAACGCACCTGATAGCATTGCAATAGTGTCAGCAGCAGGAGCAGTGAGGACTCATGGAGACGCTTCAAAGTTCGACCAACACAGGCTCCCCCCCGCTACAAGCACAGTCACCATCCTTCCAGAAGCGCGAACTTGGCCCCCTTACAAGCACTTGATAAAACTTACCATCCTTCCAGGAGCACGGAGAAATCGTATAGGCGAGCCGATGCTGCCTCTGCATCCCAGAATAGGCTACGCAACAGCACGCTCGCTCGCTACCACGGGCAATTACATATGCTAGCAGCACTCACCATCCTTCCAGAAACACTGAGGAATCGTTGAGGCGCGCTGTTGCCGCCTCTGCACAAGGCGCTCCAACCAACACAGCTCCCCCCCCCCCGCTAAAAGCACCTACCACCATTCCAGGAGCAAATCCCAACCCCTCCCCCTTTACAAGCACACTCACCATCCTTCCAGAAGCACTGAGGAGTCGTTGAGGCGCGCTGTTGCCGCCTCTGCGTCGCAAACAACACGGCCCACTGCCATCACGCTGGTCTGGAGGGGGAGGACAGGGGGTTGGAAGAGGGCGTATGGGTGGTTGGTTGGTGAGAAAATGCGACCTTCAATGCTGCTGTTGCCGCCTCTGCGTCGCAAACAACACGGCCCACTGCCATCACGCTGGTCTGGAGGGGGAGGACAGGGGGTTGGAAGAGGGCGTATGGGTGGTTGGTTGGTGAGAAAATGCGACCTTCAATGCTGCTGTTGCCGCCTCTGCGTCGCACACGACACGGCCCACCACCATCACACAAGTCTGAGAGGGGTGAAACAAGGGGATGAATAAAAGGGGGGTCTCGGTGATTGGTTACTTTAAGACATGCTGCATTTTAGGTGTTGCCACTCTGCATCGCACACAACACGGCCGCCGCCATCACACTGGTCTGCGAGGGGAGAGGTGGAGGATGAGGTGGAGGATCAGGTGGGAGGAAGAGGTGAGGCGGGGGAGTGGGAAAGATGTGGGGGAGGCAGGTGGTTACGTTGAAATGATATCGCTTGGAAAGATTTTACCTGCTCATCAAATACGATACGGTCTCATCTGGAAAACATGAGGCGATCTTGATTGATCTCACCTGAGAGGCCATCAGGGTTTGCGTCGTGGGGTCAAACGTCGGATCCGCCTGAGCAAGGGCTGCGATGAACCGCCGATTTCGTCGCTCCAGCTCATTGGCCTGCCAATTCCACGGCAGAGATGAACCATGGAACTTTCTGCACTTCAAATCAAACTTCAGATTTCGGAAACAAATCCAGCTATCTCTAAACGAGGCGTGGTCCGTCGCTGAGAGCGTAAAATTTTCTTGCCTGAGAATTCAATGGGAACGCACTCGGAAAATGTAAGAATTTTCGGATTGGCTGGAAACGTCAAGGATCGGAACGCACTCTGTCTTCCGTACGGTCGCACATGTAACGAGCGTCGCGCGGGACCTCTGCGCTCGCTACAGTCACATCGCAAAGTCTGATCGGAGCTGGCAAGGCCGCTTCATCGTGACCGTCCATCGGAAAAAATGCAATCCGCCCAAAACTGGGCGACGGGGACTTCGTCGACATCTCGAAAATTGGTGCCTCAGAAACCTACGCTGGGGTATCGTCAGAGTGGCGGGGGGGTTTGTTTTTCAGGAGCTACGTTTACGACAGTGGGAAACATACGTTTTCGGCGGGTTTGAAGCTTAGGCTTGTGTTCGCAGGTTCGGCAAACGTATGTTTCATGGTATCGTGAATCTCAGGACGCGTCACATGTCCAACACCGATCCCGTGAAATATCGGTGTGCACTATCTGCAGTGTCTTCGCCATTTCGTGAAAGACATGTATCCCGTTATCGTTAGAGCCCGGGTACAGCATGGTATTTTTCAAGTTCAAGACTCTTGAACTTGAAGTCGCTAAAAACCGGGTTACCCTCTTTTGTTTGAAAGAACTCTCGCGACCCAGGGAAAACGTCTTGCGACGGTCATTCCTGATTAGTTCCTGTGCCCAGTCGCACAACAGATCCGAACATCGCCCACCAGGTTGCCGTGGTCACCTCTCACATAACTTGACGACCGAGTAGTACTCCTAATCCACTAGAGTAGGCACGTAACTAGGAAACGCGCGGCAGGGTGGTAAAAGCTAGTTTAGGTAGAAGCTTTTTAGTCCTTCCAGCTCTCGTCACTCCCGCTGTCAAGCCAATAGCTGAACAACACCCGCTTCTTGCCAAACACGCTATTACCCTATCATTTTCGCATGCCAGCCACAGGACGCCCGTTCTAGCGCACCATAGGAAGGGAAAGGCTGTTGTTTACCTCCATGACAACCGTGCCACGCATTGGCCAGCATAGCATGGCCCACCCAACAAACACTTTGCTTCGATCCGCCTTCAGGCCACATCCTCGCCTCGTCTAGACACCCACACTTAGTATGTGGTGAGTGCATCACCTCATCGTCCGCGCTTCCCTCGCGATTCGCGCGACCCCATGTTACGAGCGCTGCTGCACTCGCGCATGCCCTCGTCGCCCGCGCGTCCCTCGTCGCGCAATGTTTCCCTCGTCGCAAGCGTTTCCCCTCGTCACGGAGCTTGCCCTCGTCTCCCATGCTCACCCGCGCTTCCCACGCTTACCCGCGTTTCCCGCGCTCTCCAGCGTCACCCGCGCTTTCCCGCGTCACCCGCACTTACCCGCGTCATCCCCACTTACCCGCGCTTAACCGCATTTCCCGCGCGTACCCGCGTTTCCCGCGCGTACCCGTTTCCCGCGCTTACCCGAGGTCACCGGTGCTTTCCCGCATCATCACCGCTTGCCCGCGTCTCGCGCTCTTTCCCACGTGTGAAACGCTTACCCGAATCTCCCTCATTCTTCCCTCGTCGCTTGCGTTGCTTCTCAACGCCCTCGCCTCCCGTTGTCGCCTCTGTTTCCCCAATCCACGCGCACTTCCCCTTATCCCCATGTCTATCCAAGTCGCCACTCCCCGTCGGTAGCGAAGGCCCCCACACACCACCAGCATTCCCCCCACTTGTCCGCCTCCCTTCCCCCCACACACCACCAGCATTCCCCCCACTTGTCCGCCTCCCTTTCCCCCCACACACCACCAGTATTCCCCCCACTTGTCCGCCTCCTTTCCCCCCACACACCACCAGCATTCCCCCCACTTGTCCGCCTCCCTTTCCCCCCACACACCACCAGCATTCCCCCGACTTGTCCGCCTCCCTTTCCCCCCACACACCACCAGCATTCCCCCCACTTGTCCGCCTCCCTTTCCCCCCACACACCACCAGCATTCCCCCCACTTGTCCGCCTCCCTTTCCCCCCACACACCACCAGTATTCCCCCGACTTGTCCGCATCCCTTTTCCCCCACACACCACCAGCATTCCCCCCACTTTTCCGCCTCCCTTTCCCCCCCACACACCACCAGCATTCCCCCCACTTGTCCGCCTCCTTTCCCCCCCACACACCACCAGCATTGCCCCCACTTGTCCGCCTCCTTTCCCCCCCGCACACCACCAGCATTTTCCACTCCCTCCTCCCTGCTTCCCCACTCCCTCCTCCCTGCTTCCTCCATCCCTCCGCCCCGCTTCCCCCCTCCCTCCGCCCTGCTTCCCCCCTCCCTCCGCCCTGCTTCCACCCTTCCTCCGCCCTGCTTCCTCCATCCCTCCGCCCTGCTTCCCCCCTCTCTCCGCCCTGCTTCCCCCCTCCCTCCGCCCTGCTTCCCCCCTCCCTCCGCCCTGCTTCCCCCCTCCCTCCGCCCTGCTTCCCCCCTCCCTCCGCCCTGCTTCCCCCCTCCCTCCGCCCTGCTTCCCCCCTCCCTCCGCCCTGCTTCCCCCACCCCCTTCCCTGCTTCCCCCCACACCATCTACCTGCTTCCCCCTTTCCCCTTCCCTGCTTCCCCCCATCCCCTTCCCTGCTTCCCCCCATCCCCTTCCCTGCTTCCCCCCATCCCCTTCCCTGCTTCCCCCCATCCCCTTCCCTGCTTCCCCCCATCCCCTTCCCTGCTTCCCCCCATCCCCTTCCCTGCTTCCCCCCATCCCCTTCCCTGCTTCCCCCCATCCCCTTCCCTGATTTCCCCCCCCCCCCCCCCTCTGCCCTGTTCCCACCTGCCCTCCCCATCCCTGCCTTTCCCTCCCTGCCCTGCCCTTCCCTTCCCCATCCCTTCTCAACCCTTCCCTTCATTTTCATGCCCTCCCCCCTTCCGCACTCTCGTTCCCATGCATGTGCACCCATCACTGTCTCCCCATACATGCTTTCATCATGTGTACTTGCTTGTATCCCCTTGCCGTTGTTCCCTTGCACCTCACACCACCTCCCCCATGTTTCTTCACACAATTCTTTCTGCCTACTCCACTCCCCTAAATTTCAGTGGTGAAGCAGAGGAGCAAGCTGAGGCACAGCTAGTCGATGCTTTACACCATAGCACCGCCTGTTTCTTTAGGCAACAATAGATACTCCATTACTGTTAGATATATCCATCTCAAAGGCACAATATGTACTTTTGTTTCTGCACTGCAACATATTCTTACAAGATGCATGGACACTAAGAGTGTCAGAAGGTGTCAAATGTTGTAGCCTATAGTGAGGTTTGTCTTAGGGGGTACAAAACTTAGGGTTAGCTATATGTACCCCAACCAACATCAATGCATCATCCATTCTTCATTTTGACATGGTATCAGTTAGGTTAGGATCCTGTGGGATCCCGTTCCTCCGTTCTCCGTTCGAGCCTCCCGAGCCTGATCCTAGCTCTCATTCGTCCCGGTTCCGTTGTTACCGCGCGTAGTGCCAATCCTAGCGCCCGTCCGCGCCACCCGTTCCTCCCGTTCCGTAGAGCCCGCCCTTACCCCCCGTCGCGTCGCGTTCCCCCCCACGTCGTGTCGCGCCCGTTCCCCCCGTCGCGTCGCCGCCCATTCCCCCCGTCGCGTCGCGCCTTTTCCCCCCCGTCGCGTCGCGCCTTTTCCCCCCGTCGCGTCGCGCCTTTCCCCCCGTTGCGTCCTGCCCGCCCTTTCCCCCCCGTCGCGTCGCGCCTTTCCCCCCGTTGCGACCTGCCCGCCCTTTCCCCCTCGTCGCGTCCCTTTCCCCCCGTCGCGTCCTGCCCGCCCTTTCCCCCTCGTCGCGTCCCTTTCCCCCCGTCGCGTCCCGCCCGTCCTTTCCCCTCGTCGTGCCCCTTCCCCCCAGTCGCGTCCCGCCCGTCCTTTCCCCCCCCGTTGGGTCGCTTTCCCCTCGTCGCGTCCCGCCCGTCCTTTTCCTCTGTCACGGCCCGCCCCTTCCCCTTTCCCCTGTAGCGGCCCGCCCTTTCCCCTGTAGCGGCCCGCCCTTTCCCCTGTAGCGGCTCGCCCCTTTCCCCAGCCCGTCGTCTTAACCCTAGCCTGCTCTTCCGCTGCCACTGTATCCCTAGCGTTAGTTCTCGCTATGGCGACTCCGCGTGTGCTTCGTTTCGACGCTGACGGTAGACCTCTTGATTTTTCCGTCTGGCTTCTTCGTGCTCGCCGTCTGTTAGAGAGTCAGGTCCAGGCAGGCGAGACCCTCTGGGCGCACGCTACTGGTGCCCTACCTGCGCCCTCCGACCCTACGCCTTTAGGACCTGCCCCTGACGACGCCGCTAGAGCCCGCTTTGCCACTCAGCGAGCTGACCAGACGGCTTGGACGTCACGTGACGCTGCGGCCTGCATCGCGCTCAGCAGCCTCCTCCCTGAGTCTGAGGAGGTTCACTTCACTCAGGTTCGCACCGCTGCTGAGTACCTCACTGCGATTAAGGCCCGCTACTCTTCTCCCGCTGCTGTCTCTCTTGGCCGCCTGTTCCTCCCGTTCCTGTTTCCTGACCTAGCGTCTTTTGAGCGCTCTGCTGACTTGATCGCTCACCTCCGCTCGCTCGACGCTAGTTACCGCGCTGCTTGCACTGAGGCACAGCTTGCACTGCTTCCTCCCCCTATGGCGATTACTATCTATTTCATCGCCACTAGCCTCCCTGACCGCCTTGCCTCCGTTCGCGACGCGCTTCTGCTGAAGCACCCTAGTGAGCTCACAGTCGATGTCCTTGAGTCTACACTCAAGGACGTCGAGAGCAACCTTCGCTCGGTAGCCGCTGCCTCTGGTGCTGTGCCCCCCCCACTCTTCCACGGGTGCACAGTCCCGCAGTTACCCACCTTTACTGCCTCACTTGCCACTGCCGCTACTGACGCGACTGCAGCTGCTGTTACGACTGCGTCGCGGTCCCGCGGTAGGAGTGGCAAGAAAGGCGGTTCTGGTGGTGGTAGTGGAGGTGGAGGCGGAGGTAGTGGAGGTGGCGTTGCGCCTGGCGGCGGTGGAGGTTCAGGGCCTGGAGAGGCGCCTCGTGCAGTGACTGGTGACTCCACTGCGCCTGCTAGTGGTGGCGACGCCCGAGTTCGTCAGTCGCCTCCTGTACTTCCTGCCCCGGTTGGTGGAGCAGCGGCGTGGTACCAGGCTCAGCGTCAGCAGCAGCTTCTGCAGCACCAGCAGCCCCTCTCCTCCCAGCAGCCTCAGCAGCAGCAGCGGCAGCAGCTGGCTCCAGGGTCGGGG